CCACCAAGGTGTAGTTCACCATATCTTCTTTGTCAGTTTGCACCTCATCTCCAGATGCACTCGAATCGTCCTAAGTCGCATTAAGTGTTTTCTTCTTCTTTTGTAGCATCTTCTTCACTTGCGAATATTCGCTTTTGAAGTGCCTGGGCTAAGTGCATTCATAGCAAGTTGTTTTATCTTTTAAAAGTTTATTTTTATTTTTTGATTCTTGTTTTATGAACCTTTTAAATTTACTAGTGAGAAGTTCAAAGTCATCATCACTTCAGCCAAGTGGTCATCATTTGTTTTAAGTGTCAAATGTTGAATCTCGAATTTTGATGATGAAATAAATTAGTAAATTATTTAATTTAACCTATATGTTGAGAAATATGTATAGGATTAACTACGATAGTAGTAAGACATAAAGCAAGTGTTGTGCCGGAGTCAAGATCGAGATTTTGTTGGGAGTTTAAGAGTTCATCGGAAGTCCGGACGTTTGTCGGAAGTTCTGTCAGAACTAACCGAGAAGTCTAGGAGCTTACTAAAGAAGCTCATCGTAACTCACCAAGAAGATCATTGTGAAGTCCAGGAGCTTGCCAGAAGTCCGTCGGAACATGACCGAGAGATTGTTGGAAGTTCGTCGAAAGATTATCGGAAGCTCGTTGGAAGAACAATTGACATTCTAGAACTAGAATGTTTTGTTAAATGTCTTAATTATTATAGTTAGACCATAAATTGAGTTAGGATTGGGAGGTGATCCCACTAACTCAGATAGGGGCCAACTGGGCCCTAAATAGGGCTGAGTTGGGCAAGATTGAATAGCCCATTCAGCACTTGAAATCATGGTTGGCGATGGCACCGCTAGGGCCAGCAATGGCATCGCTTGGGACTCAATCTCCTAGGTATTTTGGGCAGTGGTACCACCTAGACTAGATGGTGGTACCGCTGACAGTTAATGATGTCAAGCGGTGGTACCGCCAGAGCTCGATCTTCGAGCTTTGTCAAGCAATTATACTGCCCAGACTAAGCGGTGGTACCGCCTAGTGTCAGTTCACAGGTGGTAGCACCACCCAATAATGGAGGTGGTACCGCCAGTACCTCAAATCCGGGGAAGTGACACTTTTTGGATCCAATTCAGAAGCCATTGGGGCTTATAAATACCCCACCCTTTTATGCATGAAAGCACACAAAAAGTATTAACATAATCTTGAATTCCTACAGTGTTAAAGTATTGTAATAGTGATAAGAGTCCTCCCCTCCCTCTCTTAACTTTGTAACCATCCAAGAAAGATGAGTGAGGCTTGTAAGGGTTATCTCCTAAACCCAGTAAAAGGAGAAAGAGCTATAAAAGGTGGTTGGTCTTCGCCTATTGAAGGAAAGCCATTAGTAGACGCCGGTGACCTCGACGGAGGAGGAATCCGAAGTGGATGTAGGTCACTACGATCGAACCACTCTAAATACTGGTTTGCATTTCTATTTGAGCAATTTATATTACTACAATCTTTCTTAACTTTCTCTTAAGAATGCCTTCAAGTTCAATATCTTTCCGAAACGAATTTAATTTGAACGAGTATTTTTCAAAATTAATGATTTTTTCGCTGTACTAATTCACCCCTCCCCCCCTCTTAGTGCTGCTCTTGATCCTAACATCAAATCCTTCATATTTTTTGGAATGTTGTTCTCAAGTTTATAAAGTTTTATGTACATCATTTCATAGGTCATCAAAGACTCGATAACTTCTTCAAGCGGAAAGTTATCTAGATCCTTTGCCTCTTGTATTGCAGTTATTTTTGAATTTCAATTTTTAGAAAGTAATCATAAAACTTTATTAACAAGTTCAAAATTCAAAAAATATTTGCCAAGAGCTTTTAAACCATTGACGACATCTGTAAAAAGGGTGTACATATCAATAATAGTTTCACTTGACTTTATTTGAAATAGTTCAAAATCATGCATCAAAAATTTATTTTAGATTTGTGCCTTCATAAGTTACTTATAGTGTGTGTCAAATCTCATGTACAGTTTCACATAAAAAAATATAATTAAACTTATTTTTGTTCAAAGCACAAATAGAGCATTCATAGCTTTAGCATTCAAAGAAAATATTTTCTTCTCTAAATTATTCTATTCGTTCATTGGATTAAAAGACTTTTGAAAATTATTTTCAATGATATTCCATAAATTAAAATATAAAGAAAGTAAAAAACCTCTCATTCGAGTTTTTCAACATATGTATTCCATCCCATTGAACATAAGAGGACAAATGATAGAAAGACCCTCTTGATTACTAGCAAAAGCTATTTCTCTTATGTGTTAAACCAAATAAGAGAAACATAGCTTTGATACAAACGGTTAGGATCATGACGACATTGAGAGGGGGGGGTGAATTAGTGTTATCGTAAAAATTAAGTTGATTTGAAACTTTTGGCTAGATAAAAATGCATCAAAAAAGATATTGAAAGTGTGCTTGACTTAAAATAAGAGTGATAAGCACTTAAGGCAGAAAATAATAGTAATAAAGAGCAATAAGAAAGTGTACAATAATTTTATAGTGGCTCGGTCGTCATAACTTACATCCACTCCCGATTCCTCCTCCGTTGAGATCATTGGCATCCACTAACAGTCTTCTTTCAATGGGCGAAGACCAACTATCCTCTTACAACTATTTTCTCATTTTCACAGGTTTAGGAGATAACATTTACAACCACTCAACCCTCCTTTAAACAGATATTATACTCTTACAGAAGAGAAGAGGAGGGGAACTCTCAAGATTATAATAGTGTTTTCCCCAATTTATGTTCTCAATTCATGTGTTTACTGAGCAGGGATGAGTGGGGTTTTTATAGGCTCCAAATAGATTAAAAAAGTAGAGCTAAAATTCAAATCCCCGGGATTTCGAGGTACTGGCGGTACCACCACTAGTACTCTCTAACACTGGGCGGTACCACTATCCAATCTGGCGGTACCATCACTTGATATTGGGTAGTACCATCGCTTAGTCTAGCGGTACCATTACTTAACACAGTCTTAGAGATCGTGTCTTACAGTTTGAGCCGATGGTGGTTCCACCACCTGGACTGGAGATGCCACTGCTTGACCCAACTTTTGGGTCATTGAATGGGTCTTCCACTTGGCTCAAAACAATCTTAATTCAGGCCTAGTTGGTCCCTAATTGAGTTAGCCTAATTACATTCTAAACCAACCAAATTAGAACTAAAAATACTTTGAACTAGATAATTATTATAAAGTATTAATTATATATTGTCCGACATATTATTGGTTCATCCGAAACTTTGTCCGACCCTTCGACGCATCGTCCTCTCCTTCAGCATATTGCCCAATCGGCATGTTGTCTTCCCGCAACATCTGATCTCCTTAGCAATATTTGATCTTCTTGGCTCGATACCCGAACTCATAGCAAGAAACTTTTTGCCGACACATCAATCGATCATTCGGTTCGACGTCTAATCTTCTAACATGTTCCACTTTGGCCTAATATTAATTCTTCCTATTTGAATCAAATTATCTTTTTCAAGATCGAAACTAGTCATGTATTATTCAAAACACAGATGATAAACTTATCAATTGATTTTATCATCAAAATCTAAGATTTAATATTTTATTATTTAAAAAACTTATACTTTATTCTTTTAGCTAATATAAATATATGCTTTTGGATCAATTCCAAGCACTCCTGATTCTTTCTACTATTCTCTTTTACTTATGAATGTTAAAGTGTAATCAAACAAAGTTTTTGTGATGATGTTCCATCACTAAATTCACTTTCAAATCGAATGCATTGCTAAGGATTTTAATATCTTTCCTTGGATTCATAAAATATGCCAAATTATTGAATTGTTTAGCAATAATAACATCTCAAGTAATCCAATGAGAGGATGGATAAGAAGAATCATGTCCTTCATTTAAACTCATGTGATGTTAATTAATGGAGCCAATCATCATCACTATCATGGTGGTCATAATCTATCGACGTCGATGCCCATTACGTTACACCAGCATTTAACATTAGGCATATATAGAGCAATTATTGTAATATATTATTAACGAGGGTCATGCTCAAGCTCTTGCATGAAGTCAATGATTATGATATCATATTTTTCTATGGTCGATGATTAAGTTAGGGAGCCAGCCATCATTTTTTTTCTCTACTTGGAACATTTCTGGTGATGGTCAACCAAAAGATGATGACACATGAAGAAGATTACAACATAACTGCACCACCATGACCCTAATATTGAGTTTAATACGTTCATCAATAAGACGGACATAATTTTAGGACTTGGTCACATCCTACCCTTGTCACGAGGAACTGTCATGAAGCTTCAGTTCACTGTTCTTGTGAACTGATTGAGTACCACGAGCTTAATTTAACATCGGAAAGTTGGCTATGGACACAAGCTATATCATTCTACTGTTTCATTAAACTATTTCAAGTCTCACTCGGATTATTTCATACCATGGCTTCCATCTAATTACTCTTTAAGTCGTCGTAAACTGCTTCTTTGTGCATTTATATTATACAAAACCATATACAAGTCGTTTGATCGGACATTTCAGTGGTGCAGTGTCACAAGTCAGAGAAGGCTAATCCACGTACGCATAAAAGTTCAAATGAAATATTTTCAACAACATTAAGAGTAATTGTGAAGCTTGATGGAAATGCCGACATGTCACATCCGATTGCAGCGATCAACACTTTGGCCTTTGCGATGTGGCATGCGTGTTGGGTGAGCGGCCATGCATTCGTTACACGCCTCCAATGTTGGACGGCCATAAATGAATCAGGTGGCTCGTGATCGACGCGTACGGTCACAGCCGCCATTCCTTTTCCTACACCACCCACTCCCATGGCCATTATTGTCGTTGTTTAAGTCATGAAAAGATGGATTGATAGATTGATAGAGATAGATAGATAGAGATGCTTTGGATCAAACCCCTACCATCCTATTTATAGCACCCATTGCTGTCTCACTCTGGTCACTGAAAATTTACTACACCCAGGGAGGAGGATCACGATCGTGTGAGAATGAATCAGTTGTTTTCCTTTTTCGTTTCCGTCAGTCTGCTAATTTTCGCGGTCGCTTCATTAGAAGCTCAGCTTCCTCGATCTGTGTCTAATACAGTATCACTATAAGCGACGAGTGATAACTGTGGAGAGACTGTATCTCAGTAGGAGGAGGTAGAGGCCCTGGAGAGAGGGGAGATGGCGATTGTAGTCAGGGAGTACGACGCGAAAACAGACCGGTCGGCGGCGGAGGCGGTCGACCGGATGTGCGAGGTGGGCACGAGCGGGAAAGCGTCGCTGTGCATGGACCTTCTCGGCGACCCCCTCTCCCGCGTTCGCCACTCCCCCGCCTACCTCATGCTGGTATATATATGTATCATTCGATCCCTTTCTGTGAGGTGGTTTACGATCCGTGTCGATCGTTCTCAGGTGGCTGAGACAACTGGCCCGGTGAAGGAGATCGTTGGCGTCGTCCGTGGCAGCGTGAAGGTGATCGCCTGCGGCAGGAACAACCCTCGACAAGGTGGCGGAGGGACGATGAAGAGCCGCACTCCGGTGTACACGAAGGTCGGCTACGTGCTTGGCCTTCGCGTCTTGCCTTCCCACAGGTAAGTTTGGTGCTGTCTGATGTGGAGTGGTGATTGGTTGTGTTCTTTGTTTCTGATGCTGATGAATCCGATGGACCCAAAGGAGGATTGGTGTTGGATTGGAGCTGGTGAAGCGGATGGAGGACTGGTTTCGGGAGAAGGCAGCGGAGTATGCGTACATGGCGACGGAGAAGGGCAACGCGGCGTCCCTTCGACTGTTCACCGGGCGATGCGGCTACACCAAGTTCCGCACGCCATCCATCCTCGTCCACCCGGTGTTCGCCCACCGCTTCGCCCTCCCCCGCTGCGCTGCGGTACTCCGCCTCCCACCCGCCTACGCCGAAGCCATCTACCGCCGCCGCTTCTCTGCCACCGAGTTCTTCCCCCGCGACATCGACGCCGTCCTCGCCAACCCCCTCTCTGTGGCCACCCTCCTCGCCGTCCCAGCAGGCTGTGCCGCCGCGGAGCGGTGGCCAGGAGTCGAAGCCTTCCTGGCCGCCCCGCCGGAGTCGTGGGCGATGGCGAGCGTCTGGGACAGCGGGGGCGTGTTCCAGCTGGAGGTCCGGGGGGCGTCGCGGCTGCGGCGGGCCGCCGCAGCAGCCACGCGGGCGGCTGACAGGGCCGCGCCTTGGCTGCGGATCCCGTCGGTGCCGGACCTTTTCCGGCCGTTCAGGGCGTGGTTCCTGTACGGGATCGGCGGGGAGGGGCCGGAGGCGGCGGCGATGGCGGCTGCGGTGTGGCGAGTGGCGCACAACGGGGCGATGGGCGCGGCGGCGGTGGTGGCGGTGGAGGTGGCAGAGACGGAGCCGCTCCGCCAGGGCATCCCGCGGTGGCGGCAGCTGTCGGTGGCGGAGGACGTGTGGTGCGTGAAGCGGCTGGCGGAGGAGTACAGCGACGGGGCGGTCGGCGATTGGACCAAGTCAGCACCGGGGTCCTCCATATTCGTAGACCCCAGGGAGCTGTAAGGTGAAGCCACGCTTCCCCATGTCACAGGTAGCTGCTAGCTGTAGGCTGTTGCCCATTTCCATGCTTTCTCCTTCTGCAGAAATGTTTTCATTTTGGTGTGTTTTCTGTAACATCCCAAGGAAGCTAAGGGTGAAAGCAAAGGTTTTTTTAAAAGAAAAAGACACGTTAAATTAAATGAAGTACGAACAGTACTAAGGAGGTGAAGCCCCTCTCAAAACATAGATGAAGATGAAAGGAGGTATCACACCTCTCGAACAAAAACAAGAAATAGAGTTAAAAGGGGGTGAGGCACCTCTCAAAACAGATGTAAAAGTCGGTGGAGCATCTTTTTAAAAAAAATTGTCTATAAAAAAAAATTGATTAAGTTGTGAGCAGAAGTGTGGAGGTTTATGTTTATCTAGGTTCATTGTGTGATCTTGATGTCTTGATATAATAGAAAATAATGTTACAGAGGGATTTGAAGTGTTATAGAATACTGTTAGGGTTGGAGAGCATATCGGTAATATTCTTGGAATCAGTAAAAACTTTTAGGATAATAAGCCCTCTACTTATAGGGGAGAGGAGGGAGGGTGTCTATCGCAGCCTGTCAAAATCTAATTGTTCCTTGCATCGATTATAATGAAATCGAAATATACAAAAGCAAGGTAAGTGTTGAATGAGCTATTGCAGAATAAGTTAAAATAATAATAATGGGAGTAATCAGAGGCTTAGTAGTTAGTGGATGAGGGTTCTTGGGAGGGGTTCCTTGGTTCTTGGAAACGATTCCCTCTGGTTCCCCTTAGGACAAGTGATGGAGATAATATCATCATTAGTAAGAGTGATTGCTTTATGCCACGTGGAGCCAATTTGATAGTGAAGGTTGAGAAAATGATAATTATTGCTATGTTCTTTGAAAATCTAAGATTGTTGGTATAAAAGTTCGAATATAAGAGAAGATGAGTCTAGGTTTAACCCTTCCTCCAACCAAGAGCCATAAAATCAAGAATCAAAGATTTAAAAAGTATATTGAAGATTGATTTAAGTCAGGTGCCAATAGTTTTCAGCAATTAGATAGTCGAAAAAGATATAATTAATTAAAACCTAGTTTGAGTTACGAATTGGGTAAAGCTAATATATAGTTATGGAGGAATGGTGAAGTCCTTTGGAAGTAGGCAAGCATTTTCAAAGAAGCTTTCATAAAAAAATTTTGACTATAGAAATTATCAAAAGATGTCACACCGTTATCCATCCACTCCAATTATTTGTTTCCATCAAGGACTCCTCTCTAACAAATTTATAAGCAGTCCTTGAGATAGTCATCCCTAAGGGATAAAGAGCCCAAACAAATATATTATCATAGCTCAAGAGCTAAATCATGAAGATGGATTGAGCAAGGTCAGGTATGAACAGAGTATGAAGGGTATTTATATTCTATTGGCTATAATCAAAGAGCATATGGACCATATAGAAGTTTGGGATTAAGTCGATATTGATGTAGGCATGCTCAGAGGAAGTGATGTTACTATGCCAAGGATTATTCCAAATAAAAGAGCTATGACCATTACTAATAATCTTCCTAAAGGTAATCCTGACAAGATTGAGAAGGTTACGTAGACCTTTCAAGGTGCAAGAGGTTTTACCCAAGGGAGAGTCCTATGGGTGAATACAATCATATTTGGAAGAGAAAAGATTTACCCAAAGATCATCTTGATTAAGGAGCATGAGTTTTCTAGCTGCAGTTATGGACTTGACCAAGTGGAGGTCATAGATCCCTAAACAGCCCTCCCACTTGGGGTTGGTCATGTGTTTGCAACTGATAAGAGAGATTTTATGATACAATAGGCTATAGTTCCAAAAAGTCTTTAGAAAATCTGATGATTCTATTAGTGTTTTTTTTAAAAGATCTATGTACTAATAGTGTATAAAAGGAAATGGTATTTATCACTGAGTTGATGATGATGGATTTATTAGCTTAGAGATAAAAGCCCAGTTCCAACCATGGAGTCTTTATAAGAGTTTTTCAGTAACGAGGTCTTGATATTTGTTGGGTAATATGTAATGGTGAATGGAAGTACCCAAGTACTGAAGAGACTAAGACCCTTCTTCTGTACCAAGGGAGCTATAAATTCTATCCTTAATTGTAGGATTACAGTTTTTGTGAAATAGGATTTTATATTTGTTCTTCTTAACATGGAGGCCGGTGATGATAATGATGTAGTCCAGAGCTTTCAAGAGGTTAGTGCAAAATTTGTTGTTGGCCCTAATGGAAAGGATGAAGTCGTCTACGAACATGAGGTGGGTGATTTTGAAGTCATAAATATTGAAAGGGGTAAGCTTATTTCTATTTACCAAATCATCAAAGTACCATTGAGAATTTGTTGAAGAAAGACATATAGGAGAGGGGACAAAGGGTCACCCTATCTGATCCCCTTGCTAGAAAAATATCACCAAGGGTAAGAATTTTTTATGATACACAAAAATGAAGGGGAAGAAATGGAGTTGATCCATTTTGTGAAGCCAGGGGGAAAGTTGATGTGGTCCATAACACCAGCGATAGCCTCCCAGGATAGAATTTCTTAAGATCTAACTTTATAAGAATAAGGAGAGATTTATCACGAGAGTTGAACATGGAGTGAGCAAGCTCATATGCAATGGTGATATTATCATGTTAGGATCGTAACGATACTAAATCTCGAAGAATTTCGTAAGATCTAACTTTATAAGAACGAGAAGATATTTTTCATTGGAGTTGAACATGGAGTGAGCAAGCTCATACGCAATGGTGATATTATCATGTTAGGATCATAACGACACTAAATTTTGAAGAATTTCGTAAGATCTAACTTTATAAGAACGAGGAGATATTTATCATTGGAGTTGAACATGGAGTGAGCAAGCTCATACGCAATGATAATATTATTATTGTATCATATTAGGACCATAACAACAAGGGGGGAGGACTGGGCCAGGGAGCGAATTAGTACCATTATAAAATTATAATTTTAAAAATTTCATTCAATGTAAACCAATATCGAAAGTATGCTTGACTTAGAGTAAGTCTAATAAGCTATTCTCATGATGGAGAAAATCGTGTATGTCCTTAATACAGTGATACCGACGCCCGAGGAAGGGGCAAACGAGGATGAGATCGCTCGCTATATGAAATACATTGATGACTCCACTCTTGCTCAGTATTACATGTTGGGCTCCATGACTCCTGAGTTATAGAGACAACATGAAAAGATGGATGCCAGATCCATTCTCCTACATATCCGTAAATTGTTTGAGGAACAAGGAAGGACTCAGGGATATGAGATATCTAAGAGCCTCTTCCGTGCTCGGATGACTGAGGGGACACCGGTTCAGAACCATGTCCTAAAGATGATTGAGTGGATAGAGAAACTCATAGGTTTAGGAATGGTCCTAGAGGATAACCTATGTGTGGATCTTGTGCTTCAGTCCCTACCAGATTTCTTTTCACAATTCATAATGACTTTTAATATGAATAAGCTTGAAGTGACTCTCCTTGAGCTCCTCAATGTGTTGAGGGAGGTATAGAGCACTATAAAAAAAGAGAAGTTAGTTCTCTACACTGATGAGACTAGAAAGAAAAGAAAAAAGTAGAAAAGTCCCTTAAGAAGGGCAAAGGCAAGGGCAGACTAGGTAAAGCAAATATTACTAAGAAAAAACTAACAAAGGACAAATGTCAATGCTTCCACTTTGGCAAAGATGGGCACTGTAAGAGGAATTGTAAAGAGTACCTTGCAGAGAGGGCGAAATAGAAGCTTGGAGAAGCTTCAAGTACATTCATGATCAATCTCCATTTGTCAGACTCCTATGATAACACATGGGTATTGGATACCGTTAGTGCTTATTATATTTGCAATTCGTTGCAGGTTCTGGCAAGGCCTAAGAGATTGGCCAGAGGCAAAATGGATCTCAAGATGGGCAATGGAGCAAAAATTGCTATAGTAACTATTGACGAGATCGCCCTACATCTACTTGGTGGAGCTATTATTGCATTGGATGCATGCTATTTTGTTCATTCTATTATCAAAAATATTATTTCCATTTTATGTTTGACAATTAATGGATATAAAATAGTTTTTTAGAATAATAGTTATTCAATATTATTAGATGATAAGATTATCACGAGAGGAACATTGCATAATGGTTTGTTTATGCTAGATACTGCTCCATATATCATGAATGTAAGTGTGTCCAAGAGGAAACGAGATGAGGTGAATAGTACATACTTGTGGCATTGTAGGCTAGGTTACATCAATAAGGGAAGAATTCAAAAGTTGCTAAAGGATGAAGATCTAGATCCATTCGACTATTAGTCATATGCAACTTGCGAGTCTTGCCTTCGTGAAAAACTGACCATCTCTTCATTTAGTGGAACTGGAGAGAGAGCCACTGAGTTGCTGAAACTCATGCATAGTGATGTATATGGACTTATGTCAACTCATACCATTGGTGGTTACTTATACTTTATTACCTTTAATGATGATTTCTCAAGGGATGGATATATGCACTTAATGAAGTACAAGTCCGAATCCTTTAAGAAATTCAAAGAGTATAATAGTGAAGTAGAAAACCGAACTGGAAAGAGTAGCAAGACTCTTCGATCAGATCGAGGAGGTGAATGCTTGAGTATAAATTTTACCTAGTTCCTCAAGAACTATGAGATTCTATCCCAATGGATACCTCCTTATACACCTTAGCTCAATGGTGTATTTGAAAGGAGGAATCATATACCGTTAGATATGGTGCGGCCCATGATGAGTTTCGCCGACCTCCCCGTCTCATTCTAGGGATATGCCCTAGAGACCATAGCTTACCTTCTAAATATAATTCCAACTAAGTTGATGGTGTATACTCCACATTGTTAGGATTGAGTTGGCACTAAGAGGGGGGAGTAAATTAGTGTAATGGATAAAAACATCAGTTTTGAAAATCTCATTCGATAAAATCGTTTCGATAAAGTGAGTTTAACTTAAAAGCATACAGAAGAGTGTAGCAAGTAAGGCAGTTTGCAATTAAAATGAAAAGCCTAAAGTAAATGCAAACTAGATTTTTATAGTGGTTCGGTCATCATGACCTACATCTACTCCCAATTCCTCTTCCGTCGAGGCCACCAGCATCCACTAACGATCTTCTTTCAATGTGAGAAGATCAATAACCCTTTTACAC